GGAAAGGCAGGTACACAGCTAGTGATTGGTGGGGGCTCCTCCAAAGCCCAGGAGGGAACCTAGTTGAGGGAGAGTGGTCATCTCTCTCCCCAAAACTGCAGAGCACTACTATGAATGTGTCAAAAACAAAAGAGCAGAGGGCTAGGGGCTTATCTGCTGGTTACTACTCTTAAGCACCATCTACTGAATTTCAGCCCAAATTATAACACTAAAAATATTTTGCCAGTATACAGCATCTGTAAAACCTAAGGCAAAAATCCAGCCACAAAGATCCTGCACAGAGCATTAGCCCTCTGAAAGCAACCAGAAATGACGCCAACTGACTATACTCAACTTCTATCACAATTAAAGGAACACTAGCCCTCACACATGAAAAAGAATCAATGTAAAATCTCTGGTAATTCCAAAAGCCAGAGTGACCCCTTACCTCCAAATTAACAGACTAGTCCTCTTGCAATGGTTTAAAACCAGGTTGAAATGACTGAAATGACAGACATAGAATTCAGAATCTGGATGGCAAGGAAGATAATTGAGATTGAGCAGAAAGTTGCAACCCAATCCAAGGAATCCACTAAAATGATCCATTTTAGGAGCTGAAAGATGAAATAGCTATTTTAAGAAAGAATGAAACTGAGCTTATGGAATTGAAGAATTCACTTCAAGAATTACTAATACAGTTAGTATCATTAAAGCAGAATTGACCAAGGTGAGTAAAGAACATCAGAGATGGAAGACCAGTTTTTTGAATCAATTCAGACAAAAATAAAAAAAAATTAAAGAAATGCATAAAACCTCCAAAAAATGTGGGATTATGAAAAGAGAACAAACCTATGACTCACTGGCATTACTTAGAGAAAAGGTAGAGAGAATAAGCAACTTGGAAAACAGGGCTAAGGATATAGTACACAAAAATTTCCCCAATCTCACCAGAGGTGGACATATAAATTCAAGAAAAATAGAGAATCCCTGTGAGATACTATACAAGACAACGATTCCCATGGTACATAGTCATCAGATTCACCAAGATGAACATAGAAAAAGTCTTAAAGGCAGCCAGACAGAGAGGTCAGAAACCTACAAGGGGAACCCAATCATACTAGCAGCACACCTCTCAGCACAGCATTCTTAAAGAAAAGAAATTCCAACCAAGAATTTCATATTCCACCAAACTAAGCTTCATAAGTGAAGGAGAAATAAAGTCCTTCTCAGACAAACATATGCTGAGGGAGTATGTTTCAACAAGACCAGACTTACAAGAGGTCCTTAAAGGTTCTTAAGATAGAAACAAAATATTAAATCATGAAATCATAAAAACACACAGGTTTACACACAGGTGTAATCCACCACATCTAGCATCTTTCATCTTTTTGATTAAAAGAGTCTAACAGGGATAAGGTGATATGTTATGATTTTAATTTGCATTTCCCTGATAAATAGTCAAGATGAGCATGTTCTCATATATCTGCTGGCAATTTTTATGTCTCATTTTGAGAAATGTCATTTTAGGTCTTTTGCCAATTTTTAAAATCAGGCTGTTTGTTTCTTGCTATTTTTCTTTTCTTCTGCTAGTTTTGGGTTGGATTTTTTCAGTTAGATAGGAGAAACAAGTTCTAGTGTCCTACTGCATAGCAAGGTGACTATAGTTAATAATAATGTATTGTTTTAAATATCTCACCACAAAAAATAAGTATGTGATATACTGGATATGTTAATTATCCTGATTTCATAATTCCAAATGTATCAAAACATCACACTGTACCTCATAAATATATAATTATTATTTATCAATTAAGAATAAAAAATAGGCCAGGCATTGTGGCTCACACCTTTAATCCCAGCACTTTGGGAGGCCAAGGAGGATGGATCACGAGGTCAAGAGATAGAGACCATCCTGGCCAACATGGCGAAACCATCTAAATAATACAAAATATTAGCTGGGCATGGTGGCACACACCTGTAGTACGAACTACTTATGAGGCTGAGGAAGGAGAATTGCTTGAACCCAGGAGGCGGAGGTTGCAGTGAGCTGGGATTGCCCCACAGTCTTGCCTGGCAAGAGAGCGAGACTCCGTCTCAAAAAAAAAAAAAAAAAAAAAAAAAGAATGAAAAATAGAAGCAGGAAAATATTATCCATCATGAGGAGGAACATCAACAAATTGAAACCAATCTATAACTAGTACAGATGTTCAAATTAATATATAAGAACATTAAAACAGTTATAACTGTATTCTGTATGTTCAAAACATAGGGATACCAAAGCTCTAGAAAAGACAAAATAATCTAGGAATAAAAACTATAAAAATTACAATATAGGCTATGAAAAATATACCAGCACTTTAAAAAACATTATTTTAGACACTGCAGAAAAAAGTATTAGTAAACTCAAAGACACAGCAATGGAAAGCATCCAAAATAATATTTATAGAGGGAGATTAAATAATGAACAGAGCGTCAAGTAACCTGTGGAACAACTTCAGGTGGCTCAATATGCATATAAGTGGAATCCTCAAAGCGCGGGGGCTGAGATAGAAACATATTTGCAAAAATAGTGGCTGACAAATTTCCAAATTTGATGAAAACTAGGAACCCACAGCTCCAAGAAGTTCAAAGCAGCACACTATAAAAATCACAAAGAAAACAACAATTCCACATTAGGTAGGAGGTGTAAACTGATCTAGCACTTTGGAAACTTCTGGGCAATCTGGATGAGGGGGACTCCAGCAGCATAGTGTACCAGCTCCACTAAGGAACAATCAGACTGCTTCCGTAAGCAGATCCCTGATTCTGTGCCTTCTGGTTGGGTGAGATCTTCCAACAGGGGTCACTAGATACTTCATACAGAGGAGTTCCAGCTGGCATCATGTTGGTGCCCCTCTGGAATGAAGCTTCCAGAGGAGGGAACAGGCAGCAATCTTTGCTGTTCTGCATCCTTCACTGGTGATATGCAGGTGAACAAGGTCTGGAGTGGACCCCCAGCAAAATGCAACAAACCTGCAGAAAAGGTGTCGGTTAGAAGAAAAACAAACAGAAATTAATAACAATAACAACATCAACAAAAAAGACTCCACAAAAACTCCATCCAAAGGTCATCAGCCTCAAAGATCAAAGGTAGATAAATCTATGAAGATGAGGAAAAACCAATGCAAAAACACTGAAAATTCTGAAAGCCAGAATACCTCTTCTCCAAATGATCACAACACTTCTCCAGCAAGGGCACAGAGCAGGGCTGAAACTGTGATAGATGAATTGACAGAAGTGATTTCAGAAAGTAGGTAATAACAAACTTTGCAGAGCTAAAGAAGCTGGTAGGGCTAGGAGAGGGATAGCAGGGGGTGGGGGGATTGGGAAGGGATCACATTAGGATGAACACCTAATGTAGATGACAGGGGGATGGATGCAGCAAACCACCATGGTACTTGTATACCTATGTAACAAACCTGCACAATATAATTTAAAAAAAGTATGTTATAATCCAATGCAAGGAAACTAAGAACCATGATAAAACATTACAGAAGCTGTTAACTAGAATAACCAGTTTAGAGAGAAACATAATGTCCTGATGGAGTTGAAAACACAGCACGAGAACTTCATGATGCAAACACAAGTATCAATAGCTGAATCACCCAAGCAGAAGAGAGAATATCAGAGCTTGAAGACTATCTTGCTGAAGTAAGGCATGTGGACAAGATTAGAGAAAAAAGAATGAAAAGCAATGAACAAGACCTCTGAGAACTATGGGACTATGTAAAAAGACCAAATCTATAACTGATTTAAATACCTGAAAGAGACAGGGAGAGTGGAACCAAGCTGGAAAACACGCTTCAGGAAATTATCGAGGAGAACTTCACCAACCTAGTAAGACAGGCTGACATTCAAGTTCATGAAATCCAGAGTCCCAGTAAGATACTCCACGAGAAGTTCTACTGCAAGACACACAATCATCAGATTCTCTAAAGCCAAATGAAGGAAAAATGCTAAGGACAGTCAGAAAGGCAAGGTCATCTACAAAGCAAAGCCAGTTAGACTAACAGTAGACCTGTCAACAGAAACGCTACAAGCCAGAAGAGATTGGGGGCCAATATTCAGCATTCTTAAAGGAAAGAATTTCCAACCCAGAATTTCATGTCTGGCCAAACTAAGCTTCATAAGCGAAAAAGAAATAAAATCTTTTTCAAAAAAGCAAATGATGAGGGATTTTTATCACCACCAGGTGTGTGTTGCAAAAGCTCCTGAAGGAAGCATTAAACATGGAAAGGAACAACAATTACCAGCCAGTATAAACACACACTGAGGTACACAGACCAACAACACTATGAAACAACTACATTAGCAAGTATGCAAAATTAACCAGCCAGCATGATGATGACAGGACCTCACAACATACCAATATTAACCTTAAATATAAATGGGCTAAATATCCCAATTAAAAGACATAGAATGGCAAGCTGGATAAAAAGATAAGACCCACTGGTGTGCTGAATTCAAGAGATATCTCACTTACAAAGACATACACAGGCTCAAAATTAAGGGATGGAGGAAAATTTACCAAGAAAATGGAAAGCAGAAGAAAGCAGAGGTTGCAATCCTAGTTTCTGGCAAAATAGACTTTAAACCAACAAAGGACAAAAAAGACAAGGAAAGGCATTACAAAATGGTAAAGGGTTTGATTTAGCAAGAATAGCTAACTCTCCTAAATATAAATATATAAATACAGGACCACCCAGATTCATAAAACAAGTTCTTAAAGACCTACTAAGAGACTTAGACCCCCACACAACAATAGTGGTTTGAAAAAGGCCCAACACAAATTCATAAACTTTCTTAAAATATTATGAGATTTTTGGCATTTTTTATCACCAGTTACCATGGTTAGTGTATTTTATGTGTGGCCCCAAGCAATTCATCTTCCAATGCGGCCCAGGTGAGCCAAAGATTGGACACCCCTGCCAATTAAAATGAATGCACTATAGCCACATACAACAGCATGGATCAATCCCAATGACGTAATTTTGAGCATAAGAAACCAGACACAAATGATTACATACTATATGGTTCCCTTAATATACAGGTCAAATGCTGACAAATCTAAACAAAAGTATTTCATGATTTAGGCTTAGTGATAAAATTTTAAAGAAAAGTGAGAAGATCATTATCATAAAAGTCATAAAGAATCTCTTTGTGGGAAGTAATAACTGTGAGGGAAAGGATGGGGGCTTCTGGTATGCCGGTCATGTTTTATTTTTTAAAAACTTGAATGGTAGTTACAGGTATGTTTACTTCATAATAATTCAGAGTTGTACATACTTTGTTCTATACACTTTGCCATATGTGTGCTGTATTTTACAATAAAGAGAATAAAAAGGTTGTTCTTTTTCTCCAATTCTATACCTGGCACAGCATAAAATTCAGGGGGTCCTCTGGCTTTTCATAGACTAAGTTTTCAGTAATCTGCTGAGAGAAAGAGCATAAGGCATCACATTATGGCTCTGAGCAAAAGTTATGTGGTCAGGTTATATTTGATGCTATCTTTCCCACTAATCTAACACATACCATAGCTTCTGTTTTTTCAGAGATGGGGTCTCACTCCGTCACCCAAGATGGAATGCAGTGGTACTGTCATAGCTCATACATAGTTCACTGTAGCTTCAAACTGCTGGGCTCAACGGATCCTCCTGCCTCAGCCTCCTGAGTAGCTAGGACTATAGGTGCACACCACTATTTCCAGCTCACTATGGTATTTTGAATAAATTCATGTATTTCTAAAAAGTAACAGCTTACTTTGTTATTACTAAGAAAGTTAGGCAAATTAAGGTAATTTAGAAGAATAAAAGTTTTATAATAAATAGCAATGGATATTTTTACTGGTTTCCAAGATCAAAGAGATAGTGAGAAGATTTGGAAGAAAATCTTTGTTTTGAGAATTGTGATCTCACTAGATTGTGAAATTAATAAATTATTTCCTTTGAAGAACAGTAAGAGGAAAGCATTTTGAATAAAAAATTTTAAACTGCATAATTTTGCATAGAAAATTGCTTCTGAGGCATTTGATTCGAAATGGTAAAAATGATGTTCAGTACTGCAATATTATGAAAAAGTATACATAAAACTTTAGATTCACTTCCATTTTTTGTTATTGAATAAATTAAAAATTATAATAAAGCACGATTCTCATTTGCAGAACATAACAATCAGGCAAATTTCAGGATAGAATATTCAGGTCTACTTAAGGCACCAACATCATTCCATTATGTATTTTATATTTATTTCTGTTGAACACGTATTTGATTACTATTTTTTCTTACAACAATGTTGCATGCATAAGCATTTTTTTCTTCACAGGTGAAGAAAATTATGAAATGATTAAAACTCTACTGTCTCAACAAGTTTCAGCCTTCAGTTTAATAATTAGTAGTTCCTTCATTAAAGCCAGAAACCTGGCCATTAGTACTCTTCCAACAAAAAGACATTTGAAAAAGGAAAAGACATAGACCAGGGTTAATGAAGCAGACATCATTTATGCTTATTTTATATAAAGAATCTGAAGTTCACAGAAGTTAAGTAATTTTTCCCAAATCACAAAGATAAGACGTGCAAAGTTAGGATTTGAGTCTTGGGCTCAGCCCTAACTGCAAAAGATTGTAAAATCTGTGCTCTTACCTATATGCTCTACTTAGCTTTAAATTAAAAAAATTTCAGTATAAAGGTTTTCGTTTGAGGTAAGCCATTCTTGTTTTACACCTTTGTCGTATATGTTAATGTACATTGCTGGGGGTAAATAATATTAACATAAAAATAAACACACCAGGCAATAATCTCTTGTGAGGTCAAGGGATATCAAAAAGTTCCAGCACCACATCCTGAGGTCAATGAGATTTGTAATTTGAAGAACTAGAAGCAATTTTAAAGTATTTCTTTTCCCCTCTAGAGAATATGGATTCTTAGATGGTCACGAGACTGGTCATCTTTGAAAGTTTAGTCATGTTCCATATAGGGATGTATTTAAAGATTCTAATGGAGCTGAAAAATTCCTATTGTCCAGTGACGTCGTAGCTGTCTTAACATCATAATGCAAGTCATTACTCACGTGTTTGTGGTGATGCTGGTGTAAACAAACCTATTTTGGTGCCAGTCGTATAAAAATATAGCACACGAAGTATATGTACACTATGTCATACTTGAAAATAGATGACTATCCTGCTGGTTTATGTACTTATTATGTGATTTATTTAGAAAGTACTATGTCTACCTATTTAAAAAAGTTAACTGTAAACCAGCAGGGAAGTTTTTTAGGTGGTATTCCAGAAGAAGGCATTGTTATCACAGGAGATGCAGCTTCATGCATGTTATTGCCTCTGAAGACCTTCCAGTGGGACAAGTTGTGAAGGTGGAAGACAGGGATACTGATGATCCTGACCCTGTGTAGGTGTAGGCTAATGAGTGTATTTGTGTCTTAGTTTTCATAAGAATGTTTAAATAGTAGAAAAATAAAAGTAAAAATAATTAAAAATGGAACCAAGATTATAGAATAAGAATGTAAAGAAAAATATTTTTGTATAGCTATACAATGTATATTTTAAGCTAAGTGTTATTACAAAACAGAAAATTAAAAAATTTTTAAAGTTTATAAAGTAAAAAAGCTACAGTAAGCTAAGGTTATTTTTGAAAAAACAAAAAGTTTAAAAAAATTTAGTGTAGTCTAAGTGTACAATGTTTATAAAGTCTACAGTATTGTGTGGTAACATCCAAGGCCTTTACACTGACTCACCACTCACTCACTGACTTGCTCAGAGCAACTTGCAGGCCTGCAAGCTCCATACATAGTTAAGTACTCCATAAAGGTGTACCATTTTTTATCTTTCATATGGAAATTTTACTGTATGTTTTCTATGTTTAGATACGTTTAGATACACAAATACTTCCCATTGTGTTACAATTGCCTACAGTATTCATTATAATAATGTACAACACAGGTTTGTGGCCCAGGAGCAATAGGCTATACCATACAGCCTAAGTGTGTGGTAGCCTATATCGTCTAGATTTGTGTTAAGTACACTGATGTTCATACACAAAATCGCCTAATGATGCATGTTTCAGACCTCTCAGAAAATATCCTCGTTATTAAGCAACACGTGACAGTATAACACTTCTGCCTGGATTGCCGTTTTCTCTTCGTTTCAATTGATAATATTTTTCCTTCCTTCCTAGACTGGCTATAAGTTTAACTCTTGGCTAGGTTTTTCCCTATCAGCCAACCTATCTGATCGCTAATCCCTCTGAATGGCTTCATATGATGGTATCATCTGTTTGGTGTTTATTATTTACTACTACTTATGGTACCTACATTTTAATGCACTTATTGTCTTCTCAATTAGAATATATCCCTTTTTACAGAATACACCCTTTCTTGTACCTCTTGAAAAACTTACAATTAAAAAGAGGAATTGAGAGGTTTACCTGGAATATTTGCAGAATGTGGTGTTTTTCCATGTACTGGAGTGAAACTTGATAAGGATCTTCATAAACTATACAAGGGAACCTCCTATAAGCTTGATTGGATGTACGATAACTCTTTCTGTGCTCAGTTTCTGAAAATTCATCCTGAAATTTAAATCCCCCCACCAAAGAGTCCTCAGTAAACCTGAAGGGCCTAGGAATTGTCATTATCAGTGAAATCTGATGTTGATGAGAACTTAACATCAGGAGTTGGAGAAAAGACACATTTTTATGAGAGACTTGGATAATCCTCCAGGCCTCCAGGTGCAATATAATGTACCTCATGTCCTGGGCCGTACCCTAGGCATTACCAATCTACTTCAAGTACTTTTTCCTTCATAGGGATCTCTAACTGACTCAAATTCCCTTCTCCTGGTAGAAGCCCAGAGAGGGAGAATGACAGTATCACAGACTTAGTTGCAGAACCAGGACTTAAAATGCAGGTTTCCTGAATCCTGGTTTAGTAATCCTTCCTGAATGGCCTTTGGGTGGTAGAGAAGGACATACTTTTCTTTTATTTCCCATCCTTCTCATGCCCTTTCTGAAATTATGGGTCATACATACCATAACATGTGGGTTTACTCTTTATCCTTGAAGCAATATGTGCCCTTCCATCGTTTACCCCTGTTTCTACTCCCCAGGCCCCATCTTGATCTCTGATCTCCCAGGTAGTTTCAAATGCCCATTTAACTTACAGATTTGGTTACTAAGGCTTGAGCTTTTTCTTGACTGCTGATATAGTTCAATTTGGATGAAATGGAGGGGAGTCTTTGGAAATGGGCTTGGTCTTTTGCTTGGAAATTACTGGTGAATCTGGCATCAACTGGGTTGCAGGCTGGGATAGTGGTTGCATGTTGAGTTTCCATTTCAGCTGAAAGCTTGGACTTGGGGTCTACTTGGCTATCCTCAAATTTGCAGGGTTGTACTCTGCAGTCAGCCTCTTTGTGTTCCTTGCCATTGCCTAACAGGGGAAATGTTCTGCCTTCAGACTGGCCACGTGTTCCATAGTAAGACAATTGGACTTTGTGATTAGTTTGTCTGTCTGCTAAGTGGTCAATCTGGTAAGTTTCACTGTAGTCAGCCTTGTCAACTGGAAATTGATCAGCATTACTATGAGCTTGGTCAATAGCCTGGTGCTCAGCTATTTCAGTGGCTTGGCCATACACTTGGTGGTGAGTCTTTACAGATGTTTTGTGGTCAGCCAGGCCATACAATCTGAAGTCAGTCTCCTCAGAAGTTCCTTGGTCAGCCAGGCCAGTCGATCTGTGGTGAATCTTCACAGAAGTTCTTCTCTCAACTTTGCCTGACATTCTTCGGTCAATCTGTACAGAAGGTCTTTGGTCAGATGGCATGGACGATCCACTGTCAATCTGTCCAGAAGTTCTTCCCTCAGATGGGCTGAATAATCTGCGGGGAATCTTCTCAGAAGTTCTTTGCTCAGCCTGGCCAGACATTCTGCGGTCCATCTGCTCAGAAGCTCTTCTCTCAGACTGGCCTGCCATTTTGTTGTGGGTCTGTTCAGAACCTCTTTGGTTAGACTGTATAGATGATCTACCACCAGTCTGCTCAGAAGTTTTTCTCTCAGCCTGGCCTGACATTCTGCGGTCAATCTGTCTGGAACCTCTCCGGTCAGATGGCATAGACAGTTCACTATCAATCTGCTCAGAAGGTCTTCTTTCAGCCTGGCTAGGTAATCTTCGTTCAATCTGTTCAGCCGTTCTTTCCTCAGTCAGGCCAGACACCTGGCCATCACTCTGTTCAGACTGTACATTATTAGGTTGGCTAGATGCCTTGCCTTCAGTCTGTTCAGATGGTGTTTGGTCAACCTGATCATATGCTCTAAGGTCAGAAGCATTAACAGGGTTGGAGACTTTGCCGCCAGGCATAGTACCAGGTGTACTATGCCCATTTTGTTTAGCTACTCCATTGGTAGCTTGGCTAAATATGTTGGATTCAGCCTGGCTAGGCACTCTTAGGACAGTCTGGCCAGCTATTCTGTGAGCATTTTGGTTATCTGCCTGCCTTTTGGCCTGGTTCTTCTGGTCGTCTTCTTTCTGGCCATTAGTATGTCCAGCAGTTGAGGGAGCGGCTGGAATTTCATGTTCCAAGGGTTTAGCCAGAGCCTCTTGTGGAGGCTCTTCCATTTCCTGCTGCGTCCTTGGCTGGTCTAGGTTGCCAGGCGCTGTGGGTGGGGCTGGGCTGGGTCGTCTAGGCGACAGGATTCCAACAGGCTTTGTTCCGGCCTTCCCGCACGTCCCGCAGAGTGGCCGCCCCGCTGCTGTGAGGGGAGGGACGGTTGTCAGCTGACACTGCAACGCGCAGGCGAACGCAGGGACGAAGCCACCTCCTGAGAAGAGGCGATTCCCAGGCTCTGGCAGCTAGAGCTTCTCCTCCGTTCCGGAGCGAGCAGGCCACGGGCTCCATGCAACGCTGCCTAGGGCATTTCCCTCTTCCTTGTTCGCGGGGGTTCTCAGCGGTGTGTGAGAAAGAGGCCCTCTTGCAGGTACTGCTCCTCTGGTTAGCATCCCCCACCGCACCCGCAAATGTTAACAGATGAACATGCGACCAGCTGCACGAGGACCATGAACCTGAACCGAGGTTGCTGCTGTTGTCAATAACTCAGATTCACACTTTGGTACTGAGTTTGTCTCTCATCACAGATGTAAGCACAGCATGATGTCAGACTGGGCACCGTGCTAGTAAATAGTCTTGCTAAATATTATTCTTCTTTAGACTCTATTCGGTGTTGAGGTGACATAACCATATTATATTCTTTTACATTTTTCAGTACTGTTTTTACAGTGGTAGTGCTGTTTTCAGTAGCACCAGGAAGAGTTTAGTTTTACTAACACTCACGCTACTAAAATCTTAGGGATCTGCCCTCACAAGAAAAGAGTGTAAAGAAGAGTTTTGCTCTCCACCACCCCCTCCCCGTACCCCTTGGCAGTTTATTCCTGCAAGAGCCTCCTCCCCCGTCTCGAAGGACAGGCCAGCAGTTATTTTCCATCTCCTCTGGGTATAGCTGTCTTGGCAGTGGAAACTCAAGCTCCAAGGTGTTTTCTTTCTGAATTAGACATGTGATCCATGTGAGCCAGAGAGAGGAGAGAAGATCCAGTGAGAATGGGTTCTAAAATTGCACCATCTAGTGGTCCTACAGCAGAGAGGAGCGTTAGGAGGAGGCCAAACCAGGGTTCAGAAAGGAAGGGAGTAAGGAAAGTGGGAGAAAGATACCAAAAGGAATATTTAACAAGTGGAGAATTTGTATTTGATGGGCCAGTGTGGCCCAGGTTTTGAGATTTGGCCCTCCCCTTTTGCAATAAACCTTAAGAACGCACCTCAGAGTCAGTAGGCTATCTACTTTCAGGAGTAGGCCAGTACAGAGGTGGTGGTTGATGAGACGTATTACTTTGACCTTGCAAAGCCTAAAATTACTGAGGCAGGCCAAGGGTTGGTAGTGTGATGCCAGATATTCCTTTAGTAGGGATTTAATTGCATTAAACAATTAGAAATGAGACTTAAAATCCAAATGCAAACACTTGTGATCAAAGTGTGACAGGGAGAGTGAATCCAATGGATGCCATACTTAGGAATGGAAAGGGGAATCTAAGCACGCTGAAGTAAAATCATCTATGTAACAGTGCCTAGAACATAGTAGGTGTTCAATAAGTGTTCATTGGATGTAATTTTATGAATTATCTACCTTAGTTATTTAAAAATGCATAACACCCTTGGATACTGTGTTTAGAATAAAATAGGTGTTGGGCTATGGCTTGTAGCTTTACAGGTTATTGGTTTTGTGAATTTATTTTTGCATTTTATAACTTAAATGTAATCATTGTAGAAATATAAAAAAGAAAGCATAAAGAAAAAATTACCCAAACACTCAAGAGATAACCTTTATTGACATTTTGATGTGTATCCTTCTGGAATTACCCCCATGCAAATCTGTGTCTATATCTATATGTATGTATATAGATTTTACAAAATGATGATTTATTAATTAGAGATCTTTATTCTTTTTAATGTGGCTGTTTTATAGTTACAAATTTCCCTCTGAGCTGATGCTTTTGTGGCATCTCACAAGTTTTTGGTGTTATTTTTTCATTAATCTCAAGATACTTTCTCAGTGACTTTTTTTCTTTGATGCATTGGTTGTTTAAAAGTATATTGTTTAATTTCCAAATATGTATGAATTTTCTAGTTTTCCTTTCCTTCTCTTATTGATTTCTAAGTTCATTTTGCTGTGTTCAGAGAATATACTTTGTATGATTTCAATCTTTTAAAATATATTAAGCCTTGTTTAGTGGCCTACCTATGGTTAATCCTGGAGAATATTCCATGGAAAGAATGTGTATTTGCTATTGTTGGATGGAATGTTCTTCATATGTGTTAAGTCTAATCAGTTGATAGTGTTCAAGTCCTGTATTTTCTTTCTGGTCTTCTGTCTAGATGTTCTATTCATTATTGAAAGTGGGAAACACAAAAAATTAGCTAGGTGTGCTGGCATGGACCTGTGGTTCCAGCTATTAGGTGGGCTGAGATGGGAGGATTGCTGGGCTCAGGATGTTTAGGCTATCTGAGCTGTGATTGTGCCACTGCTCTCCAGCCTGGGTGACAGAGTGACACCTTATCTCAAAAAAAAAAAAAAAAAAAAGTGGGATATTAAAACCTTCAACTATTATTGTAGAACTGTCTGCTTTTCCCGTCAAATCTGTTAATATTTGCTTCATATAATCAGAGCTTGTTGTTTTCTACAAATAATTATTTTCTATAAAATATTATAAACAAGAAAAAATGAAGTCTTCCTGTTTGGCTCTTTTATCAATATATAATATACTTCTTTGTGTCTCACAACAGTTTTTGACTTAAAGTCTATTTTGTCTGATATTAGTATAACAGCTCCAGCTCTTTTGGTTATTATTTGCATGGAATATCTTTTCCATAGTTTTATTTTCAACTTATCATGTCTTTGAAACTAAAAAGAATCTCTCACTATACAGTTGGATCACATTTTAAAAAAATCTATTCTGCCTATCTGTGTCTTTTCATTGGAAAGCTTAATCCATCTATATTTAAAGTAATTACTGATATGAAAGGACTTACTTCTATCATTTTGCTGTTTATTTTTATGTGTTATATCTTTTTTGTTCCTCAGTTCTTCCATTACTGCCTTCCTTTGTGTTTAATTGATTTTTTTTATAGTGTACCAAGCTGATTCCTTTCTCATTCCTTTTCTGTATATATATATTTAGTTAATGTCTTGGTGGTTACTTGGGGATTACAATTAATCTCCTAAACTTATAACCTATTTTGAATGAAAACCATCCTAGCTTCAGTAGTATACAAAACTCTGCTTTTATGTAATACTTGTCTGTCTCTCCTTTTTGTGTTATTATTGTCACAAATAGCATCTTTGTACATTGTGTGGCAATTAAGATACATTTATTATAATTATTTTATACATCTGTCATTTAAATCGTATATAAATAGAAGCTCAAACCAAAAATACAATGCTGGCTATTAAATTACCTATATAGGTACCCAAACCAGTATTCTTTATTTCTTCATGTGGCTTCGAGTTACTATATCTTTTATCTCTACTTGATGATATCCCTTTAGAATTTCTTGTATGGTAGGCCTACTATTGATGAACTGCTTAGGATTTGTTTATCTGGGAATGTTTTAATTTCTTCTTTATTTCTGAGAGGTAGTTTTGCTGAATGTAGAATTTCTGGTTTATGGTATATATTTTCAACTGTAAATATGTTGTCTCACTGCTTCCTCACTTCCATGAATTCTGCTGAGAAATTGCCTGTTAATATTCAGGATCTTTATATGTGAGGAGTCACTTCTCTTTTGCTGCTTTCAAAATTTTCTCTTTCAAAATGTTTTTCTTTTTTGGAAGTTTTATTGTCATTTATCAGTGTGGGTCTTTTTGTGTTATACTTTTGGCGTTTGTTGAGCTTCCTCAACAAACGCCAAAAGAATAACACAAAAAGATGTTGTGTACACTCATTTCATTTATCAAATTTGTAACATTTTCAGCTATTACTTCATATATATGTATTTTTTCTTTCTCTTTCTCTCTCTCCTCTTTTAATGGAGTTTCTACCATGCATAAGCGGTACGCTTAAGTGTGTCTTAAAGGTTTCTGAGGCTCTGTACATTTTTCTTCATTCTTTTGCCTTCTTTTCAGGCTGAATAATTTCAATTGACCTATCTTTCCTTAGCTCTTTGAACATTTTTAAGACAGTTGATTTAGTTTTGGTCCATTATCTGTGCTTTTTTAGTAGCAGTTTATTTTAATTTCTCCTGGTGATACTTTCTCGATTCTTTACATACTTCATAATAAAAAAGTAAAAGGTAAAATCTGGACATTTCGTATATTACATATATCCTTCCCTGGGCATGCATGTACTTTTCCGGATGTCCAATACATACAGAAACTTTTTGATACACTTATTATTCAAATAATCTCTCTCCTCAGGTTTTCTTCCCAAGCTTTTAGTGTGTCCATTATTTACCATGATTTTAGTCTTTTTACCCAGATGTCATCAGGTTGCCTTTCAATGTTGTTGAGAAATGCCCTCTTTATAGCCACTTTTCCATCCTGAGAGAGTTCTGTTGATGAATACTTAGGTTGTTTCCATACCTTGGCTATTTATTCACAATAATACTGAAATAAACACAGCAGTTTTGATAGTTAAGTCTTTCTGAGAATTTGTCCATTTGTATTAGATAATATATATCTATAATAGATATATAGATATTAGAAATATATATTAAATATTTTATCTAATATATGTAATGTGTTAGATAATATAGATAACCTATATGGTAATGTCCCTTTTTTCATTACTGAATGTAGTCATTTTTTTCCATGTGGTCAGTCAGTTAAAAGCTTGTCAATTTGTTGATATTTTAAAAAAGACAGCTTTAAACTTTTTTCTGTCATTTTAATATTCTCCATTATATTAATGTCTCTCTAATCTTTATTATTTCATTCCTTCTGCTTGGTGTGGGTATAGTTTGCTTCTTCTTTATAGTTTTTTAAGGTGAAAAATTAGGTTACTGATTTGGGCCCTTTGTGGTTTTTAAAATATAGCCCTTTATAGCAATAACTTTTGTCTGACAGTAGTGTAGCCACTCCAGCTCTCTTTGATTACTTCATGAATGGC